TAGACAGTCAGTAAGTTTGGCCTTCGACACGTACGCTTGCTTAACTTGAGTTGTGTCCTTAGTCCAAGCTAGACCTCCCTCCAGTGGGTGTATGCTACTGAGGGAGTGGCAAACCAATTTTGCAGTGCCACTAAATTTGGTCACTACCTTTTTCGAGATTGCATAAACCTAGCCGACTTTGCCCTGCGGGAGGCTGCTCATCCACATGAGCTGCCAGTGCGAATGAATGCCCGGGAACTAGCCCAAGGTTCCCTCAGCTCCACGGGGATACGCGCACTTGAACTCACGCGGGACTTTCAAGTGCTAGGAGCGCATGCTTGTGATAATTGTCAACTACTGAGAAAAGTAGATATCTCGAAAACAAAGATCGAAGAAATTCAGGAGTTTACCTTTGTGCACTGCACTAGCCTTTGTGAAGTTAATCTGCCGACCACACTCCACACCGTCAGAGTAAAGGCCTTCATGAACTGCGCCGCACTGCCAGAACTTGCCATCCCGCCCTCATTGCACTATATTGCTAGCAGAGCCTTTCTGAACTGTACTGCACTCCGACGGCTGGTCAAACTCCCAGGCCGACATAAATGGAGAGGAATCTATGCAGAAGAGAATGCTTTTGCTATTTGTCCAGCCATGCGATGGCCACCGTGGCTACACATGATCCCCGACTCAGGGCATATGTCCGGATTAGCGTAAAGAACACTTCTCTCACTCTGCAGATGTCCTTGTTGATGGTCCCTGCTAGTTGCCACTCACCTGGATGAGAGCCTTAGCTTTTCGTCCATGATTAACTCAGCGTGTTTAGGCTCAAGCCCACCTCAGTTCGCAATGGCGGCTCCCTGAGATGAGTGCAGACGCCATGTCCCTGTGCAGCTCGCAAGGGAGTGAAGAAAGGTCAGTGGCAATACATCTCATGCTAACCACTTTCGCTGGAAAGGAAATCCAGCTATCTATCGACCTGCAAGAATATGACAGACTTAATGAGTTTGAAAATGCAGTGCTAAATCAGCTCCCCTATCTTGGGGACAACAGCACCTGCAGTTTGTCCACAAGGACACCCATAAAGTGTTGGCTGACCCCATTTGGAGCACCTTGCGAGACAATCACTGTTTCAATGTGATTGCCCGTCAGTGTTTTGTGGACGCGCTACACAAAGGGCATCTCAAGGGAGGAGCGAAAGCCATTCGGGTTCCTTCAAGCACCACTGATCGAATACTGCCACAGGCTTTCTCGCTCCATACGGAAGTCAGGCACGTTCAGGTAGAAGCAGGGGAGGCTGCCTGGAGGAGCTGTCAGCGACTGCAGGTGGTCCACTTGCCGAGCACAGTTGTCTGCCTACAACATGGAGCTTTTCGTAGATGTTACCTACTAAGAGCCGTTTTGGCCCCAGGATGCAGGCAATTCGGAATCAAGGTCTTTGAGGCATGCTGCTCGCTAACGCAAATTGGGGCAACTAGTCACACAACTAACCAGTTAGCCGCAACTCCGGCCTAGAGCCTTTGAGAAATGCGCGGCTTTGCGTCACCTCAACTTGGAAAGGACAGAGCATGACCCCACCAACCCAGAACGAAGCTTGCCTGAATGTTGTTTCTTGGAAGCCGGCGTCGTTTCGCTCTCCCTTCCGCCAGATTTCACGTGGGTGGGGCCCGCTGCCTGTGAGCGCTGTAAACGGCTCCAGATTGTTGACCTGTCCCGCGCGGACATTGTTGAAATCCTGGGGTCTACCTTTGCACACTGCTCGCAGCTGCAAACGCTCAACCTCTCCAGCAAATTGAGACGAATAGAGCAAGAAGCATTCCTCCACTGTGCCTCACTAAGAGGTCTACATCCCAGTAACTCTGCTCTACATTGCTCGGCGTGCTTTTGCTGGTTGCGCGCAACTTCGCACATTCTGCAAACAGGGAAAATCACGACTTGGAGGGGGACATACGCTCGAGTCAATGCCTTTGACAAATGCGACCTATTGGAAAAGCCTCCGTGGCTTCCTTTCCTGCCGCCAACTGCCAAAGACAGCTGGAGAGAAGACTTCATTGAAGCAGTGCGCTCGGGCTCATAGCTGCGTAGCCATACTGTATCAACTAAAAAGGTCCTTCCCCAAGTAGCCTGAACGAAAGTCAGCCCTCGACGAGCAAATTGATCCTCATCTATCCTTCATCGCCTGCAATTTTGTGAGCCCACCGGGATGAGAGCCTTAGCTCCTTGTCCCTGGTCGGCGGGTGGTAGCAGAGCGGTTGATGGAAGGCGCCCAGGGAGAACCTTAGTTGCAGCCGAACCGCAGCCAGTCTTGTACAAAGATGGCATAAGTACCATGCAAGGATAGGTCTCCGTTTCACCTGTTTCACACGGGCCATGCACGTGGTAGGATAGTGTCCTCTATGCTCACTATCTGATGGATTAGTCACCCCCTTGGCAAATGCGTGGGAGCCATTGGGGGAGTGTTGTGCCTCCTTCGCGGGAGGGAGATCAGCACGCCGTCTGCGGTTCGCTTTCGTTGCAATGCTTTCCACCGCCACACTCGAGACTAGCCTCTGCTCTTCGTAGGTGCATTCAATTGGATAGTTTGTGCCACGGAGAGGGAATTTTCCACGGCTTGCCACGCCTTGCACTAATGATTCACTGGGCAAGTGTCATTGTCACTGCCGACCTTGCTCATGGCACTTCGTAGGATGCCAATATACGTCAAGTGCCCGACACCGCAATGGCAAGGGCGGCCATACCCCTGCCAACAGACTGAGGCCACATTTGATTGGCCGTCCCGAGCAGCCACCCACGTTCAGATGCATTTTGCCGTTCGTTGCGAATTCAGGCCCTTAGTCATTTGGTAGTTCATTTTTTCACCTGTTTCACATCCGTACAGAGGAAACACTACTGATATTGATGGGATTGGTTGGTTGTGGCCTTGTGTTGTTTTGTTGTTTTGGGTTTTTGGGTTTGGCTTTTTGGTTTGGCTTTGGTCCGTGTTTCATTTCCCATCAATATGCTGTGTTTCCTTTCCTTCTATGATGACCTGGGCACACCGCCCACATGGCGTCTGCATTCGTGGAAAAAAAGAACTCGAAGGCATTGTCAGCAACTCGCAGGCGTCGCCCCGTTGTTTTCTTAGTCCCTCGATAGGTAAGGCACTCTAACTTGCTGCACCCTGCAAAGGCCCTGTGCCCAATGCAACAGGGTTGATGGGGTCCCCCTTCTGCCTCTGCCAGGCTTGGAGTGTAAGCACACCGGCCAATTTCGAGTGGTTGGCTGCATCTGCTGGCACTTATTGGCTGCAGCAGTCCTGGTCTGTTTCGCTTGCATTGGAATGCTGTTCAGGCCTTGGGAAACAGCCTGCATCAGGGCACAACTGTTCCACACAGTTGCACTGGACCCAAAGCAAAACAAAACCACCAAACCCAAAAACACACCTCCAAACTAGAACCAAAACACCCAACCCCCAAAACAAACAAGCACAGTTTCGCGCTGTACTCTAAGGTGAAGCCAGTGAGACCTGAAAGAATGTTCAACTGTCAACTCGGGCCTTGAATTCTCGAGATTTTCCTGTTATCTGCTGTTCTTATCTCCGACGCAAAAGAGCATTGGCACTGCAGACCTTGAAGGCCACTTCCAAGTGGCCTCTCGGAATATTAAGGGACAAGTCTGCCCCTGCCAGGTTTGGAGTGTTGGCACACCGGCCAATTTCGAGTGGTTGACTGCATCTGCTGGCACTTATTGGCTGCAGCAGTCCTGGTCTGTTTCGCTTGCAATGCTGTTCAGGCCTTGGAAAACAGCCTGCATCAGGGCACAACTATTCCACACAGTTGCACTAGCTGAGGCGACTGTGGCCGGCAGCGGGCAATTGCAGTGTAGGACATGCGAACACTGACGAAGGCACCCAGCATACCTCCCTCGGCGCACACATGTCCAGCAGGCTCCTGAGCAACATGCCATAACCTCTAAAACTCTATCTCTAGACCTTGAGACCTCTATGTTTCTAGGCCTCTGGACAAATCTCACGACCTCTCTGAATATCAAAAGCTAAAGGCCTTTTTGTCCAGATGTCTGAATCTCTCTTTACCTCAAGGCCCCCCGATGTCTAGACCACCAGACCTGTAGATCTCTTTCAATCTCTAGGCATTTGTAGACCTCTAGATCATTCTGGATCTCCAGACCTGTAAACCTCTGGATTTCTAGACCTCTACATCTTCAGATCTCTCTAAGTCCAAATACGTCTAGATCTCTAAACCTTCTGCTTCTGCACTTCTAGGCCTCAAGGGCAACGCTGTTTGGGGTCTCTTGCCAGGATAATTTGTGTTGATCACACTTGGGACCTTCCTCGCTAATTGTAGCTTGCCATGGCAAGACTTTCACTCAAATTGATTTGAAGATCCACTTACTGTAATGTTTTCTTGTTGGTGCTTGGCCATATTGGTTTCTGCATGCCCACTTCGAATGCTCGTTTGTGACCCGGAAGGATTGCAAGCCGATAAATCACAAATCCATTCCTTTTCTTTCGGTGGTAACTTCGATGTCTCATGCCCGGTTGAGCCTTTTTGTGGCTGTTCATTGTATGCTTGCTGCTCTTGGTTCCGTGGTCGTGTTTGCACTGCTTGATTTCTTGTGCTGCATCATTCTTATGGCTGCCCATTGTTTGGAATGTTGATTGTTTCAGTACCTTACCCGCCAGCGCTGTCCGCATCACATTTTCTCGCGGACATGGGTTTACTCAGATCAGCTGGAATGAATCCGATGCATGTGATGCTCAATTTTCAAAAAAAAATACAGCAGTCATCACTCATGTGTTGCAATGAAACAGTGCGATGAAATTCATACATACATATAATATATATATATATTTGTATCAGGATAGTTGTCAGCGTACATTGCAATTGGTGTAAGACCACAGATGCACTTGCAGCTGAGTTTGCCCAACGATGATGTTGTGGATTTGCATCAGCGTTCGCGGTCACGAAAAAGCAAAAACTACCGTTGGTGGTTTTTGGCTTGCCTCCTTGCAAGCTTTTGATGCCATGGACTTATCGACGACCGCTTTCGCGGTGAACACGCCCAAGTTTTGGGGTGGAGAAAAGGAGCCTCAAGAGAGCCTCTTGAGCCTTGACAGCCTCGTGTGTGTCTGGAGCTATCGTGCCCTTTGCCCCATGAAATTTGGACACCATGTGAATGCAGCTCGTTCGATGATCTTCGGTGGGAGGAGCTGGTTGCGGATTGTATTGAAACAGGATGGATATCATCGGAAGGCTTGTGAACAGAAAATGTTGTGCTGAATCAAAACAATGCATTTGTCAGGACACTAGACTCATTCCTTGTCAGGCCCCGCGGTGAAAGAATTCGAATCCAAAATGGCTTCGAGGTGCAGCAGGAGGCCGATGACCCAATAGCTATTGAAGAGTTGAACAAAAGCATCCTCAAGGCTGCAAATCTAAAAAACCGGTAAGCTTGCAAGGCTTGCGAATGTGCTAAGGCATGCCATTGCGTGTGCCAATGGCACTGCTGCATTGGACATTGCAGTGAAGGTGGGTGTATCCAAAAAACATGTTATATACACAGGATATTGTTTGATGTTTTATTGATGCCAAGAATGAGAATGTGTTGCTTGTTTGCAGGGCCACGGCGGCCATGTCGCGATTTCGGTGTAGCCATGCACTCGCCTTGCAGCTTTTGCTTCCAGGCGTTGAACTTGAGTGAAGGCGATGAGGTGCGCACCGCACCGTTTCTTCGGGGCCTGGGAAGCGCAGGACAAACCAGGGGCTTTGGCACCATGAATGTGGAAGCACACAGAGTGGTCTCAAAAGAAAGACAAATCCTTTCAACCCATTTTCTGGGGTTCAAAGCTTTTTAGGCACCGGGGGAAAAAGACGGCCCGAACTCGCCACCGAGGTCGGTTGACATCACGAAAATGAACAGATTCCGATCCAGAAGAGATGTCAACCTTCCAGGGTTTGTAGGGTGAGGTCATCCTTATCTCACCTGTTGTATACTTGCTTGTTTTTTGTTTTGTCACCTGTTTTTTGCATTGGACCGGATATGATGTTGACATATGAAGAAAGCATTATCAAAGAGAGACCCTGAAGAAAAACCATTCCAGACGCAAATCCCGTGGTTTCTTGGACACAGGGCTGACGGGGCCTCCACCTGTCTTGCCTCTTCGTATTTTCTCGGCTCAAGGGGGTCACTGTGAGATGGAAGATGGCGATGTTGATGCTGGTCCACCTCATGAGAGTGTGACCGAGAAGAGTTCTGATCGAGAAGAGCTTGAACCCCGAGCTGCAAGTTGAGTTGAGAGGGAGCTGGGGCTGGAGGATTTTTTATATATCTTTTCCATGCTTTGATTGTTCGCAAACGACCTACGCTTGGGGTGTATACTTTTTTCTTGCAGTGATGGGCACGCTGATGTCGCAGAATGTGTTGTGTTTGTTGTGCTTGAGTTTGGTCTGCCAGACATTTCACCAATCTGACAGCCGAGGCCAAGGATGAGATGAAAGCAACTGATGCCAAGGCTTCAAAATCTGCTGCTAAGGAACACAGGAAAAGGACAGGCATGGGGGTATGGCACATCAGTTCCACGTTTTGATTTCTATAATGCCAGTGCTTCTTTCTTGATGGTCCTTCACACCCACCGGTCTCATCTGCACGCACCACCTGTGACCGGTGGGATGATCCTTTGTTTCTTCCGGCCTTTTTCCTCTCGAGGAATCAGCGACAGAGTTTGGAAGAGACACGGCATTACACCATGTCTTATGACGTCCAAGAGAAGAGGCTCGTAACTCATGAGCGTGAGAGCACCTGCGAGCACAACATCTGGGAGAAGGAGGGGCGCTGTTGCTGCAGAATGCTGCAGATCCAATTCAAGTGTTAATGAAAAGTGTAACTTACATAGAGCTAACCCCCATGAGTTAAGAGCTTGTCGTCGAAGACAAGCTCATAGTGAGCGAGCGCGGAGAGGGTTTGTCAAACCGTGCAAGAGGACGCCTCCAAAGTAGCGGAGTGATGGCACTAGTGATGCAACTGGCGACCATTTTTCGAGATGTACATAGCCACATAGCTGTCATCCGGCAAAGCTGGAAATTCCATCCGTTTGGGGTGTCAATTGTGTTGAATGCAGCCGCAAAATGAGAGGATTTGTTTTGGCTCAGTTGGTTTCCAAACTGCATGAGACTTCTTTCGTGTTCGTGACGAAAGCTTGCCGTGCTAGCTGGAACTTGTCCTTTTTTTTCTACTCTTGCGGCTTTGGGGCTTTGGGTGTGTGGGGTCCATGTGGGCTTTGAAGTACACCATTTGCAGAACACCTCGGGCTTCTTCCTGCGCTTTTGAGACAGGAGCGCCCCTTTTTTTGTTCTGTTCGGTCGGTCCTGTCAGGTGATTCTTCCAAGCTTTTGCATCATCTCAGTGATCACCCAGGCGCATGGGGTTTTCACATGGATTTCAGATGAGCTGGGGAAAACACTTGTTCAGTCACAAGATTGCTATGTGCCTTTGGGTCGAAATCCGGTTCACCCATGAAACATATGACATATCGACAAGGAAGGCCAACCTACTGTGGTTTTGGGTTTCAGTGGTCTTGCCAGAAACGAGAAGCGGCTCGCTACGCACTCCTTGCCTTTCAGCGGGTTCAGCAAGTATGGTAGCAAAGGTGTGATGGTAGCATGCGTGAATTGATGCGGCCACGGTGCCTAAAGAGAGCGAACGAAGACACCATGCCGCACGGCCGCATCGAATGGACAGGCACGGTGCGTATTCATGTCGAAGCGGACATCGAGTTTGTGGAAACATTGCGTTTGGCACGGAGATATTTCGCGCACTGGTAGATTGCAGCACGCAGCGTGTCTTAAATTAAAGGGAAGTTGATCAATTTATTGGGTAAGCTATAGGTTCCTTTGAGGGCAAGGCCAGAGGTTGAGAAGTGTGATATGGCAGGTCAATCTAATGGTGAAGCTGTCGAAAGAGCCAGTTATGACCTGCACGCAATGTCTGAAGATGTTTCCGAATCCCAAGACCTGGTGGTATTTCGGTCATACATATTTGGTTGTCAAGTGCGTCTCATACAACATACCACCTGGAGGGTCTTAAAGTGAATCTCAGATGTGGATAAGATGCCACCTCAGAGTCATGGCTGACTCGGCCACCGTGGTCACCGCCTTTTTCGTCTTTCGAGACGATCTCCGAAGGGTGGACGGCTTACCCCGTCAGGCCGTAACTGAGGTGTTGGCCCAGTTACGGCTGTGCCAATGGCGAAAGCGGCGCACGCAAGCTATTCGTGTTGGTTCTTGATGGTCTAATATGGTGACAATATCAGGGGGACGAGTTGATGATTTTAGTGGGTCAAAAATCGTTTGGTAGGACTAGTACATCATACTAAGTATAGGATTGTTGGACATGTTGTGATTGTGGGCCGTCTCGTTTAATTGCGTACACTTTGTTGAATGCAATGAGGTTTTGTCAGGCCGCACGCAAATCTATTGATTGTTGTTGGTAGTGCTGGTGGCCTGCTGCAGCATTTGCTGGAATTCGGCATGTTCACTCTCACGAATTTCACATGCTGTCTTATTTGCCAAACTATGGTTTTGCCTTCAATCCCGCGCAACGTTGACACTTTCTGCGATTCTACGCACCTCTTGCACATTGGGCGGGTATGGTAGATGTTGAACACCAGCTACATATAAATGAGTAAATGAGACATTGTAGACAAAATCGGAGCTAGTAACAAGAAGCTACGAACGCAACAAGACGGGCATCGCGACTCGAGTCCGGAGCGTTCGGACGCGAACCGAACGGGGGCGCTCCTGGCATTTCTACTAGTTTTCGCAAGAAGCTACTAGTTCACCGTACCCGATCGCGTCCTTTGCATTCCGCGTTACGCCTCAACGCCTTCGCCGCATTTCTGCCAACGCGTTCGCGGTGGACCGGTGGTTCCAGGGTTCGGTTCTGGAATCTCCTCGGAACGAAGCCGGTCGGATGGTCACTTCAGCATGCGACTAATCATGTAGACTGATGAAGAACCCCCCTCCATTTCTCTTCATATGGAGAGGGAGGTTTGTTTTATTGATTAAGAATCTACATTAGTTCATGACTTGGGAGTCTTGGAGATCGAACGAGTTGTTCAATGGGGGTTCAGGGTGTCGCAGGGATTGGCTGTTGAGGACTTGGGTGGTCTTGTTCGGAATTTCTGCAGTGTGGCTCCAAGATGTGTTAAACACTACCATGGTTTTGTTTGTTTGGCCAGTTTGCTACAAACTGGCCCACGCCCATTGGCTCTGTTGCTCCTTTCGAGATGACGGCCGCCACTCCACCGGTTCACATGGAGTTCCTACCAACAACTAGTTCCGTTCCTTTCTCCAGACCCCACAAGTTAGCTGCCTCCAATCCCCAGACCTCTTGGGATCGCTTGAAGACTCTCAACCGGTCACGTGACCCTCCGCGGAACGCCTCCTCCGTTCTCCACCGGTGCCACCGACAGGTCGTGAGAGGCGGTTCCGTTCCCGTCTTGGTGGACTCGGTGTGGGATCCAAGGAGACGAACACGAGGGGCAGAAAACGACGGAGGAGACGAACACGCAAACGAACACATCTGAGGATGCGACCTTCAATATGGACGTGTCCCAGCTCGCCTCCAAGATCACTCCGAAGACCAAGGCGAGACCTAATAGACCAAGTGCAAGTTTGGCAGGTTCGCAGGTTGGGAATACGTCAGTCCATATAGTATAGTTTGGTTAGTGACCTTCAAAATGTGGACGAGGCTCTCAAAATGGGTCCTTGGCTTCTTTTTGATTTAGATGTGCCTGGAAACCACCGCACTTTGTGTATGGCCCGAAAACCACGCACCTTGGCTTGAAACGTTGGTCCTTCAAGTGCTCAAGGTTTCCGGTTTCATGCTCCTTTTCCGATCATGCGCAGGCGATCATTTGTGTCCACACTTACCACTTTCCCGTGGACATGGAGCCAGCTTCTGAGCGCCAGCTTGAAATGCTGAGAGGAAGTGTGTGCTTGAGACTTCTCACAGGCCGGTGCTTGCTTTGGCCAAGGACACATGATTGGGTGGATTTGTAAAATGGGAACACCCTCCAAGGACATCACTGGTCAGCTTCTTACAATTTCCGGTTGCCAAAAGTTTCTGGTTGCCTGAGTTTGAGATAAACCCATTTGATTTGTGTGAGTACAGTATTCGTTTCGGCATGGCGCTCATCGTTAGCTGCGTAGCTCCTTTTTGGGCATTTTGAGTGTTGGTTTCACTCTTTGTGAACAGTCCTCGAGAGGAACATGGCATCAAAGTCATAGAGGATGCGGCTGAAATGATTGGGCAGTTGCTTGGCTTCGGAGCTTGCATCGGAGCTGTGGGGTTGCTTGGTTGTGGCACAAAAACCTCTGATTTGCTGAGGACTTGCCTGGGGCGGCCCTGCGGCTCCTTTGGAGAGATCAGCACCATGAGCTTTTACCCAAACAAGCACATCACCACAGGCGTTGGTTTCGGGTGAGGTGTGAATAGGTGCAACCAGTGAGCAGGGAAGCTTTGCCATGGGTGAGGTATGATCAAGAAGATCCGTGTTCGTGATGAAGGGGTTGTCTGACATGTCTTGGAACCCTTTTGACATCCTCGCGATGTTTTCACATCCTACTGCTTTTTCGGATTCTCAGAGATAGCGAGGGGTTTTTCATTGGTGAAGCTGTTTTCATTGGCGGAAATCCCGCTGTGCTCCCTGACAGGTGAAGGTGGGATGGTTTTATGTGATGACCCAGAGTTGGCCGAGAGGTGCAGCCATGCAGCAGGTAGTAGGCAGTACTAGCAGCTTTGACAAAAAACATCTCAGCTTCTTCAACTGCTGTGACATGTTGCTCATAGTTGCTCATGGCTTGAGGCTTCTGCATGTTAGCACTTCAATCTTTCTCCCTCACGCTCAAGAAGCTTTGAAGCCCCACGTACCCGAGTCGCAGTGCGGCACCGCCAGTTCTGTTTCCAGGTGCCAGCAGCTGCGGAACCTATGTTTTGATCCCAAGAAGCGGCGCTTTGTCCACGAGGATTGACTGTGGGGTCAAGTCGCGCGGTGTCCGGTCGACGTGTCCGAAGCTGGAGACCTGGGCTGTTCTGAGAAACAGAGACAAAGGATGCAGGATCCTATGGCAGCAGAAGTTGTTGTCTGCAAGCTACATAGAATCTGAGACGTCCATTTTTCTGATTTTTTCGTCGGAACTTCTTCCATCTGAAGAAGGGAAATGATGAAAAAAACACCTGGATCGACCGGGGCTGCGGCGACACCATCTCTCTGTCGTCCGGGTTCACTGGGCCCATCACCGCTTTGGGACCTGAAAGAAGCCACCAGGTGCAAATCTCTCCCAAGAGATGATGAGCCCCTCGTTTTTTACTTTTTCCCGACGATAAGCAGAAGATCGGACGATACAAGCACAATATTTTTCGATACAAAAGGTACATTCATTTCGAAGTCCCACATCTTACATACCTGATAAGAGACACCTGGAAAGCTACCGCTGTGAGGTTCCGGGTTTGACAAGGTTTGTTGTGCCATCGGCTCCAGTGCAAGGACTTGGGGTGGAATTACCGCATGACCAACCTGCAGGCCAGTGCAATGCTGAGGTTGCTCAAACAACTGAAGGTAAGAATGAAAATCATACAACAGACCAGTACAGATTTCTCTTTCTTGAACCATACTTGGCTAAATATGTTGTGGGGCAATCACTTTCGAGACATTGCTGGCTGGGGAATGGAAGCAGAAATGGACACTGACATTGAAGAAGAGCGGAAGGGTCACATAGAAACCAACACCAAATAGTCAAACGTCGGCGACCGCGCTTGGGATGAGACCTTGGACCGAAGAGCAACAAGAAGACCCTCGCTGTTCCTCCCCGGTCGAGAGAGTTCCGCTGATGCGGCTTCGGAACCAATTCTCGTCCAGGCAGCCTTGGGCCTTGGTCAGCTGTTGCATCTGGACGAAGCCGTGCAACGCAAACGCGAGGCGCCGATTCGCGCGGTGGTGGTGCGCGGGGGGGCGCTTCAGGCCGCCCCTGCTTGGGTGCGGTACGGGCGTTTGGGTGACCGGATGAAATCCATGGGGCAAACCGAAGAGTCCGTCGCGAACGGCGTCGCGAAAGGAGTCCGACGAGTTGGTCGAAGAGGTTCGGCGGCCGAATCGATTCTCAGATTGGGCGCTTGTACAGCAAGCTCTTGAAGGGATGTCCTGGTCTCATTCTACCTCCAGTCAGGGACCTCAGATGCTCTGAGCTCTCCCTTTCTTTGGGGAGAGTTCAGGAGTGAGAGATCTGAGGACGATCTGAGATCGGAGACCAACATCTACTGGGTCTATGGGGCCGGGGAGCCACAGGTCTGCAGGTCATAGTCAGGTAAGAGTCAGATAGAGCGGAAGTGGGGCTCAGAAGTCGTTGATTTTCTTATTTCACTGGTTCAAACCTGAGATTGAGATTCTTCTGGTAGTTTCTCTTCAGGTGGAATTGCTTCCGTCTGTCCCCTGCGAAGCAGATGAAGTAATGAAGCACCTGGCTGCTGCCAAAGTGGGCACAAGGCCGGGCTGCTTTGGGGTTGTTCCAAAAAGCTGCAGAGTATACCTTTCTAGCAAAGCAGAATCTTTGAAGCACTACCATTTTTTGGGACCGATGAGACCTAGCCTGAAGGTTTCTGATTGTTTTGCAACTTATTGGATGCAGCTTGGTTGGCGTCCTGATCAGCGCGTGCAGGCCTTTTTTTTGGCCAATGCACGAGCAGCCGGTGTTTCTCCAGATGGGCCTCTTTAAAGGCATTGCGAATTTGTCCGACGAGCATGGCAGACGTGGCCTTGTCAGGATAGACTTGTAAATCGCCAGTCTTGATGGGTGCTTGATTTGGTCAAGTCGAGATCGTCATCACCTTATAATCCCATATATATATATATATCTCTTGAACAAACACCGCCTTTTTGGTGTTTTTTCCTCCTTGACCTCGCCCAGGGCAAAGCTTCCCGGTGGCCGAGCGCATCGCTCGACGTGGCTTCTACATCCCCAGTGGTGGGGAAACCTCGCACACGAGACGAGCCGGATGTATTTTGGGGCACTGTACTGCTTGGCTGGGTTGCTTGGATCGAAGAGACCATGGCGCGACATGAGCTTTGTTTTTGTCCAGGCCTTGCGTTGAAAGACGAGGAAGTGGAGGAGGTGAGGTCTTTGGGTGAAAGAAATGAAGTAATGCGATCTCCCCTAGGCCCTAGCCAAGATAATCCAGGAGACTCACATGTTACATCTTGGTTATTTTGTGCTTCAGCCATTTTCTGCCAGGTAGCGAATCGAGTCAGGAAGGCCAGGCCTTTGATGAAGCCTTGTTGGATGTGGATGACTTCTTCTAGAGCCATCATGGAAGTGGACCAAATGCAAAAGGAAGACGGTGAACTTCTTTGCACTCCTAGGGGGTCCGTGAGTCCTTGACGGTCCTCCACTTTCATAATTCGGAGGGTAGCTCTTCAGTCGATTTGTGCCCCTTTTTTCATCAACGAGCAGAAGCCGAAAACGCCAGCGGCTTTTTTCTTGGACTTGTTGAGGGAACATCACAAAAGAGAACGGCATGAGTGGTTAGGCGTTCGCCTGCGATGCTATTTGGCTCGTCGCTTGTGACACTCCCTGCTTTGAGAGCTCTCCTGCACCCACAGAGCTCAACTAACATTCCGTCCACGCTGTCAGCCTCTTAGGTCTCCCTCCCTCCTCCGATAGCTCTTCCGCACCTGGACAGCTCACCCAACATCTCACGCAGTCAGCTCTGAGGTCTTGCTCCTTCCTCTGGTAGTCATCCCGCGCCTGCCCAGCTCATCCAACATCCCGCCCACAGTCAGTTCTTGGGTTTGCAAGTTGTTTCAAACGGTAGTACGCCCCACCCCACTCCACCCCAGCCCAGCCCCATGAGATGGGACGGACTGCGGCAGTGAGAGTCTTGCTGTTGTGCTAGGTGATGGAAATGCTCCTATCGGTTGCGTCCTCAATAGAAGCATATCTCAGTGCTTTTGGAAGCTTCTGCTTCCACTTCGGGTTCTAAGGATGGTGGCTATCCAAAGTGAAGCGGTGAAACGATGGCTATCCAAAGTGAAGAAGCCTATGGTGAGACGAAGCGATGAAGGAAAAGACTTATCAACCTCTCATGAGACAGCATGCTTGTTTGTCCCTCAGTCCGTCGGTCCGTCAGTCTGTCAATTTCTTGGGTTGTCGGTCTGATGTTCTGTGTGTGTATTTGTTTGATGCGTTCATGCCCACAGACATGTTTTACATCCTCATATTTTGGTCTTATGCTTTCATGTTCGCAAGATCTTAGTCTTCCAGAGTCGTGTCTGTGTTTGCCTTGGTTCTGATACATCCTTTCGATCATGGAAACTCCGGAAAATATCAAGATATTATATATGTATATATATATATATATGTTGGCCAGAGCTTTCACCAAGGACGCACTCCCAGGATCTTCAGCCACAATGGAAAGCGAATGAAATTGTGAATTCACACTTGTGTTTGTGTGTGTGTGTGTCACCACCTGTTCCTAAGGTTGACATAGCTAATCACCGTTTTGACGAAGTCCACCATGCTTCAGGAATACGATTTATGACTTCTCATTTTAAGCAGCAGGGTGGAGCAGGGAGTCCACAGTTCTGCTGCCAACGAAGACAGCTGTGGCTACTCCGTGAAGCAGATTGGGACGCCAATCTGTGTACCTGCAATTTAACTCTTTCTGTTTCACCCAATGTTAAACCATACAGATGCAGCTGACCCATTCACCTTTCCGTTTTGCAAGTCAAGGTCTACAATGCAGCGGGTAATGTAATCATCTAGTGTGGGACTTCATACTGATCCTAGCTCTTGCGAGCAACTCTCTAAGCGTGTTTCGCCACAGGGTCCCACTGAGGGCTGTGGTGTGATCCCCGTCAAGGGGCGCGGTACACGTTCAGACCCACGTTGCGTGGGGGATCCTCTGCTGAGTTCTCGGTTTGCACTCCGGAACTTCCCGTGATTGCCTCTGAATGTCGGTATTGCATGCTACCCCTGATTTCATGCCGCAGGGCTTACTGTGATCAAAGACTGAAGATGCTTTCTGCAATTTTTACAGTGCTAAGTAATCACCTGTACAGTCAATTTAGGCACGATTCAGGCACGACCGTACGTTCAGGTTAGGCCAGTTACTTTCTGCACAGCACGAGAACTTTTCCTCCACTCGCTCCACGACCTCCACTTGGATGGCTCAACCGTCTCCAACACCAAGTGCACCTTCACCCTATGGACCTATTTCACAGCCGACCTCCTTGGTGACCCCTTCGGCTCCGTACGGTGCAGTTTCGACGATGCAAATCCCAGGCCTCACCTTCAACCACTTCAACCACTACTACCACACCCACAGCATCTACCACTTCAATACACCTCCCCCACAGCGATGTCTTCACAGTTCCAACCCATTCCCAATACCCACCTGGTTCAGATTCCATCCGCACTTCACCCAGCAAGTTGTCCAGTGCAATCAACCCCCCACCCACCCGACACGAGTCCCTCTTGGACCTCACCCACACTCCTTGTCGCCCCTGCGACATATTGGCCTCCACACCCGCAGAACGTCGTACAACAGGCAGTCCCCACCGACCCTTCTCAGTACATCTCCACCGACCCCGGCCCCCACCCCCACTCCAACACCCACTCCGCCAACGCCCATTCCACCACCTGGCACCACGGCCAACCGTGCCACCGCAGGCTCACCCACCTAGCACAGCCACCACAACCGATCCACAGACGGGCACCACGAGTGTCTCTGCCTCACCCACGGCTCCTTCCCCCGCGGCATCAGCCACCACTCGGCCACCACCACTTCACATCACGGTCCCTACACCGCACCCACCCCAGCCACATCCACCTCAACAGCCTCCAACCCCTGTCACCACGCCACCACCAACACCAGCCCCACCCAAGGCTACGATCCGGCAACGATCCACTCCGGCCACCACCACTTCTACCACTACACCAACACGATCTCAAGCTGCACCAACACGATCTCAAGCTGCCGGCCCAAAACCACGCCCCCCTGTCAAGCCACAACCGCCCGCAGGCCCACCACCTACGCGTGGCGTTTGGGCTCCACCACCATTGACAAGTTACAGCGCCCACGCCGCTCCCAGTACCCATGCCGCTCCCAGAACCCGCTCTCGTTCCCCTCCCCGACCCAATATCCGCCTCACCCCCAACCCCCAGCATTCGGATGACCGTCCCTCCGGATCTACCCGCGATCCCGCCACTACATCAAGACCCAAGGGCATCATTGTTGCCACCAGTGCCCCACAACAGCCACTGAACCACATCGCCGACCTTACAACCCCTACACTTCAGCAGACCACGACCATGCCAGTCACATCTATGGCAGGGACACTTTCTATCGCATTTTGCACTACTTACATCATCAATGCGATCAGCTTGCGGAACGCAACTCTCCTATGCTCCGCTACGTGGCCAGGATCCTCACCAATGCCGGCATCTTTGCAAAGGACTTAGAAATGCTTGAGCAATGGATCCATTCCGACTGGGACAACGACATCAACGGTTACAAGTCCACAGCATATTTCTCCCTCTACATCCCCCGCCTCCAGCACAAACAGCGAGTCGAACACATCCCCCATCGCCGCAACCAGACTGATACTCAACACGGTACAGTGCATGTGTTTGCGTGTCACGCCACTGAGGAAGGCAACCTCCTATGCTCAAGGCTATGAAACTACCGGCAAGCTGATCTATGACGCCTGGCACACAGCTCGAGTCATCGACAAAAATTGCCAAATGCCAAGGAACAAAGCCGGCGTCATTCTTCACTGCATGGCTTGGGGCACTGGCAAAAAGTTCACCCAGGGTGGCGAACACGAAGGAGAACGTTTGCTCGCGGCCAACCACGGCGTCGTCAAGCACGACAAAGGCAAGTGCTATATCATACACCCGGATAACTGTGTGATCTGCGGCCTCCTACCGCAGTCACCAGGGCAACTTTCCACTCCCCAACTCTGGCACCATTTCCATGACTACCTTCAGCACACACCCGTGTCAGTGGATCTCTATGCAGTCAACGATGATTTGGTTGGCTTTTTCAATTCCGTTCCCCAAGATCGCCTGATCCAAGCTGTCCAAAGCCTTGTCAACCGCTGGCAACACACTTTCCCTACCCCAACCATCACGGTTGATACACACGCAACCGGAGACCCAATCCAGCTTGCCCACATTGGCCGCCGTCACCGCAAACATCCCACGCAACGGACACTCTACACCGACGACATTACTACGATCGTAGCACTTGCGCTAGACTCATGTATCTTCAAAGCGTCCAACTCATACTTCCTGCAGGTCCGAGGAGTCGGGATTGGCTCTCAGCTCTCGCCGGCCTTGTGCAATGTCGCCATCGCCCTCATTGAACACTCATGGCATCAACTTCACCATCCCTTGACTGACCACACCGAGATCCACTTCGTCTACTACCGGTACGTGGACAATCGCTTCATCGCCTTCAACAGCATCTTCCTCAAACATATGGCCATCCAATCGCTGATCCACCCGGACTTCTACGGCAATCCAGTGGAATTAGAACCCGGAAGACATGCACCTACTTGGCTTTGATGTTGATCTACGTCAACGGACTATCTCCTACATCCCACCGGACGCTTCACGCAAGATACGTGACTATGCCTCCGCTGGATCCACTAGACTACGACTTTCTGGCCTACAATCCCGGAGAGTGCGCCTACCCCTCCTCGGCTGCAGAGTGCGCCGTCCCCGGCCCTCTGTGCACCTGTTCCTAAGGTTCTCATAGCTAATCCTTGCTTTGATGACGCCCCGCCATACTTCAGGATTTCGGCCCCCGCCATCTCATTTCAAGCCGCAGAAGTCACTTTTCAGAGCAATCTCACGCAGAGTGCGCCGTCCCCGGCCCTCTGTGTGTGTCACCACCTGTTCGCAAGGTTGACATAGCTAATCACCGTTTTGACGAAGTCCACCATGCTTCAGGAATACGATTTATGACTTCTCATTTTAAACAACAGCAAACAGCAGGGAGTCCACAGTTCTGCTGCCAACGAAGACAGCTGTGGCTACTCCGTGAAGCAGATTGGGACGC